GGGGTTATCGTCGGACGGGGCCACAGTGTCTCCCGACCCCTCCCGGTCTCAGCCTCCAGTATCTATGCTGCAATAGTATATGTGCCAGGGGGCTAGGGTCAGTCTGTTATATCTGGTGTTATTCTCTTCATCTTATCCGGTGTCCTGTGTGAATTTAAGTATGCTCCCTCTAATTCTCTCACTCTCCCTCTCTCCCTCCCCTCCCGGAGGACCTGAGCCCTAGGACTATGCCTCAGGACTACCTGGCCTAATGACTCCTTGCTGTCCCAGTCCACCTGGTTGTGATGCTGCTGTTCCACTCTTCTGCCTGCGGCTACGGAACCCTGACCTGTTCACCAGACGTGCTACCTTGTCCCAGACCTGCTGTTTTCAACTCTCTCTCTCTACCGCACCTGCTATTTCAACCTCAAAATGCCCGGGTATGAAAAGCCAATTGACGTTTACTCCTGATGTACTGACCTGTTGCAACCTCTACAAACACTGTGATTATTATTTGACCCTGCGGGTCATCTATGAACATTTGAACATCTTGGAGAAAATCTGGCCTTAATTTGACATGTACTGTTATAATCTCCACCCGGCACAGCCAGAAGGGGACAGGCACCCCTCAGAGCCTGGTTCCTCTCTAGGTTTCTTCCTAGGTTTCTGCCAAAAAAGTGTTAAACAAATCAAAATATATTTTATATTTGAGATTCTTCAAATAGCCACCCTTTGCCTTGATGACAGCTTTGCACACTCTTGGCATTCTCTCAACCAGCTTCACCTGGAATGCTTTTCCAACAGTCTTGAAGGAGTTCCCACATATGCTGAGCACTTGTTGGCTGCTTTTCCTTCACTCTGCGGTCCAACTCATCCCAAACCCTCTCAATTGGTTTAAGGTCGGGGGATTGTGGAGGCCAGGTCATCTGATGCAGCACTCCATCACTCTCCTTCTTGGTAAAATAGCCCTTACACAGCCTGGAGGTGTGTTGGGTCATTGTCCTGTTGAAAAACAAATGATAGTCCCACTAAGCCCAAACCAGATGGGATGGCGTATCGCTGAAGAATGCTGTGGTAGCCATGTTGGTTAAGTGTGCCTTGAGTTCTAAATAAATCACAGACAGTGTCATCAGCAAAGCATCCCCACACCATAACACCTCCTCCTCCTCCATGCTTTACAGTGGGAACTACACATGCAGAGATCATCCGTTCACACACACTGCGTCTCACAAAGACAAAGACAAAAATCTCAAATTTGGACTCCAGACCAAAGGACACATTTCCACCAGTCTAATGTCCATTGCTCGTGTTTCTTGGCCCAAGCAGGTCTCTTCTTATTATTGGTGTCCTTTAGTAGTGGTTTCCTTGCAGCATTTCGACCATGAAGGCCTGATTCACACAGTCCCCTCTGAACAGTTGATCTTGAGATGTGTCTGTTACTTGAACTCTGTGAAGCATTTTTTTGGGCTACAATTTCTGAGGCTGGTAACTCTAATGAACCTATCCTGTGCAGCAGAGGTAACTCTGGGTCTTCCTTTCCTGTGGCGGTCCTCATGAGAGCCAGTTTCATCATAGCGCTTGATGGTTTTTGCGATTGCACTTGAAGAAACTTTCAAAGTTCTTGAAATGTTCCGTATTGACTGACCTTCATGTCTTAAAGTAATGATGGACTGTTGTTTCTCTTTGCTTATTTGAGCTGTTTTTGCCATAATATTGACTTGGTCTTTTACCAAATAGGGTTTCTTCTGCATACCCCCCCTAACTTGTCACAACACAACTGATTGGCTGAAATGCATTAAGAAGGAAAGAAATTCCACAAATTACCTTTTAAGAAGGCACACCTGTTAATTGAAATGAATTCCAGGTGACTACCTCATGAAGCTGGTTGAGAGAATGCCAAGAGTGTTCAAAGCTGTCATCAAGGCAAACTGTGGCTATTTGAAGAATCTCAAATGTAAAATATACTGTATTTTGATTTGTTTAACAATTGTTTGGTTACTACATGATTCCATATGTGTTATTTCATAGTTTTGATGTCTTCACTATTATTCTACAATGTAGAAAATATTAAAAATAAAGAAAAACCCTTGAATGAGTAGGTGTGTCCAAATTTTTTAATGATAGTGTCACGTCTGGAGGATACCTAGCACCATCCCTATGGTGAAGCATGGTGGCTGCCAGCATCATGCTGTGGGAATGTTTTTCAGCGGCAGGGACTGGGAGACTAGTCAGGATCGAGGGAAAGATGAATGGAGCAAAGTACAGAAAGATCCTTGATGAAAACCTGCTCCAGAGCGTTCAGTACCTCATACTGCGGAGAAGGTTCACCTTCCAACAGGACAACAACCCTAAGCACATAGCCAGGACAACGCAGGAGTGGCTTCGGGACACGTCTCTAAGTGTCCTTGAGGGGCCCAGCCAGAGCCCGGACTTGAACCCGATCTAACATCTCTGGAGAGACCTGAAAATAGCTGTGCAGCGACACTCCCCATCCAACCTGACAGAGCTTGAGAGGATCTGCAGAAGAATCTGAGAAACTCCCCAAATACAGGTGTGCCAAGCTTGTAGCGTCATACCCAAGAAGACTCAAGGCTGTAATCGCTGCCAAAGGTGCTTCAACAAAGTACTGAGTAAAGGGTCTGAATACTTGTAAATGTGATATTTCAGTTTTTAATTTTTAATACATTTACATTACATTTACATTTACGTCATTTAGCAGACGCTCTTATCCAGAGCGACTTACAAATTGGTGCATTCACCTTATAGCCAGTGGGATAACCACTTTACAATATATATATATATATATTTTTATTTTTTATTTTTTTTCTTTGGGGTGGGGTAAGGGGGGGTAGAAGGATTACTTTATCCTATCCCAGGTATTCCTTAAAGAGGTGGGGTTTCAAGAGTCTCCGGAAGGTGGTGAGTGACTCCGCTGTCCTGGCGTCGTGAGGGAGCTTGTTCCACCATTGGGGTGCCAGAGCAGCGAACAGTTTTGACTGGGCTGAGCAGGAACTGTGCTTCCGCAGAGGTAGGGTGGCCAGCAGGCCAGAGGTGGATGAACGCAATGCCCTCGTTTGGGTGTAGGGACTGATCAGAGCCTGAAGGTACGGAGGTGCCGTTCCCCTCACAGCTCTGTAGGCAAGCACCATGGTCTTGTAGCAGATGCAAGCTTCAACTGGAAGCCAGTGGAGTGTGCGGAGGAGCGGGGTGACGTGAGAGAACTTGGGAAGGTTGTAGGGGTTTAATGGCACAGGCAGGGAGCCCAGCCAACAGTGAGTTTCAGTAATCCAGACGGGAGATGACAAGTGCCTGGATTAGGACCTGTGCCGCTTCCTGTGTAAGGCAGGGTCGTACTCTCCGAATGTTGTAGAGCATGAACCTACAGGATCGGGTCACCGCCTTGATGTTAGCAGAGAACGACATGGTGTTGTCCAGGGTCACGCCAAGGCTCTTTGCACTCTGGGAGGAGGACACAACGGAGTTGTCAACCGTGATGGCGAGATCATGGAACGGGCAGTCCTTCCCCAGGAGGAAGAGCAGCTCCGTTTTGCCGAGGTTCAGCTTGAGGTGGTGATCTGTCATCCACACTGATATGTCTGCCAGACATGCAGAGATGCGATTCGCCACCTGGTTATCAGAAGGGGGAAAGGAGAAGATTAGTAATACATTTGCAAAAATGTCTAAAAACCTGTTTTTGCTTCATCATTATGGGGTATTGTGTGTAGATTGCTGAGAATAAGAAAATACAATCAATTTTAGAATAAGGCTGTAACGTAACAAAATGTGGAAAAAGTCAAGAGGTCTGAATACTTTCCGAATGCACTGTATAATATGGGGAATTGGAAATTATGCATAAAATTACATTGATAGAACCCACAATCTATCTGTAACATTACAGCTGATCTAACCCCTAAAAAAATACAAATACATTTTTCCTCTAGAATTTTTTATTTTACGCCCCCCCCAAAAAAATCCCTAGTCCTTGCCGATGACAAGCATATCCGTAACATGATGCAGCCACCACCATGCTTGAAAATATGAGGAGTGGTACTCAATTATGTGTTGTGTTGGATTTGCCCCAAATATAACACTTTGTATTCAGGACTTAAAGTTAATTTCTTTGCATGTTTTGGAATATTTTTATTCTGTACAGGCTTCCTTCTTTTCACTCTGTCATTTATGATTGCATTGTAGAGTAACTACAATTTTGTTGATCCATCCTCAGTTATCTCCTATCACCGCCATTAAACTCTGTCACTTTTTAAATCACCATGGCCTCATGGTGAAATCCCTGAGCGGTTACCGGTTTCACTGAGCGGTTTCCGGCAACTGAGTTAGGAAGGGAGCCTGTATCTTTGTAGTGACTGGGTTTATTGATACACCATCCAAAGTGTAATTAATAACTGCAGCATGCTCAAAGGGATATTCAATGTCTGCTTTTTTCCCCTTCTACCAATTGTTTGTATTTGTGGTTGAATCTGTGCTTGAAATTCACTGCTTGACTGAGTGACCTTATAGATAATTGTATGGGGTAGTCATTAGAAAATTATGTTAAACGCTATTATTGCACACAGGGTGAGTCCATGCAACTGATTGTGTGACTTGTTAAGCACAGTTTTACTCCAAAATGTATTTAGGCATGCCATAACAAAAGGGTTGAAAACGTATTAACTTAAGACATTTCAGTTTTAATTTTTAATTTATTTATAAAGATTTCTAAAAACTTAATCCCACTTTGACATTATGGGATATTTTGTGTAGATCAGTGACACAAAATCTCAATTTAAACCATTTTAATTTAAAATGCAGGCTGTAACACAACAAAATGTGAAAAAAGCCAAGGGGTGTGAATACTTTCTGAAGGCACTGTACACATCATTGGGTAAGACTAGAGATCAACCAGACAGATCAAGATTGCGTTTATAGTTTCATACTCTCATTCTCAAAGATTGAAACGTGAATACCGATATGTGTAGGCTACGGTTGACTATTCTATCTCCGGTGGTGCGTAATTTACGCAGTTTATAATGGCGTCTGTGCAAGAGATGCGCCCCGGTCTTGAAAAATGAAGCGGAGAAGAAGTCTGTTGTAGAAATTGATAGCCTTTTACACGGGTTCCCTCAGTGGGCTGCGACCTTCTTCCTGAGATTCTGGTTCACTTTTTATTTTTTTACCACAACATGATGAAGATCAAATCGAATCAAACGCGGACATATGACGGGGATGGCTACAAGAAACGCGCCGCCTGTCTGTGCTTCAAGAACGAGAGTGAGGAGGAGGTAAATCCGAGGCTAGGGGTGTGGAGGTGGAACGGGCCTTTTGAGGAAACAGGTTGCCAGCCGGTAGTCTGGTGGGGTAGCTATTTCGAATGTAAAGAATAGGGTAGTTGTCAGCGAAAGCATATGCCTATTTGGTGGCGAGAAGGCATACATTGAATTGATGGCAACAACATCACCTGCGGTTACCATGTTGTAAATGGAGAAAAAAAAACGTACAATTCTCAAACGGACATTAACCTTAATTGTAGACGCCTAGGTTGAATAGATTAGAATAGATTAAAATACAATAACTTTATTTTCCCAGAATAACGTTATTTTCCCAAAGTTGCCAAGTGAGTTTATTATGCAATGCAGAGTCTGTTAGCTCTGGGCCATTGCAATATATATATATATATATATATATATATATATATATATGGTGCATTCGGAAAGTATTCAGACCCGTTGACTTTGTCCACATTTTGTTACGTTACAGCCTTATTCTAAAATGGATTAAACAAAAAAAATCCCTCATCAATATCCCATAATGACAAAGCAACAACAGGTTTTTAGATTTTTTTAAATATATATTGCCTCCTAATATTGTACAATCTGTGTGTGGCTTCATTGGCCTGGGCTGTTGCTTGTTTGAATTCAAGACCAGATTGATCTCAATTTGTCAGTGTCAGAGTAGCCACTCATTTTGGTAATTTGTGTGGGATTTTAAAAATATTGAGTTAATGTCTTCTGTCATGTAAAAGACGCATGAAGTGCGTTTTTAAAAGGTCATTTTTTTTCTATAAAAAAAAAACAAAGCCCCAGGGTTTATGATTTCTTAATCTGACCCTGCCTACAGGTGTTGTTGGTGAGTAGTAGCCGGACTCAAGACAAGTGGATTGTCCCTGGTGGAGGGATGGAGCCGGAGGAAGAGCCCAATGTGGCTGCTGTTCGAGAGGTGTATGAAGAGGTAGGTTGAATTACTTGTCAACTTCATTTGTGCATTCAGAGTTTTTATTATGCAAGGAGCTCATTGAAAGTATCGTTTCACTTCTGCACAGGTGCCCTTTTAAATGGTTTGTAAAGGGTAAATGCCTGTATAGATTGGTATAGACTGGTAATTACACACTTATAACGTGTTTATTAATCAATAATCTGATCTGATTTCCCCCAAAATACTTGATGTCCCTGAGTATAATTTTGTTAAAGAAAGGTTACTCTCATGCTAAAGTGTTGCCTAAAGTTCTTAGAGGGTATATAAGGTATTTGAACTGAAGCTAACCTTTTCTGTTGAACAAATGGGATAATTACATATTTTTACATTTACATTTTAGTAATTTAGACACTGTTAGATGCTCTTATACAGAGCAATTTACAGTTAGTGCGTTCATCTTAAGATAGCTAGGTGGGACAACCACATATCTCAGTAAGTACATTTTTCTTCAATAAAGTAGCTATCAGCAAAGGCAGTGCTATTAGGGGTGGGGGGGAAGTCAAGTGTGAGTGTTAGTTCACAAAATACAATTATTTTGTTTTGGGGGGGGGGCGAGGGGGGGGGTGCTGTGGGATTATTTAAGATACTCTTTAAAGAGGTAGGGTTTCAGATCTTCCAGTCTTTTAAGTTTATTGGTTTTCTGTTAACTGTATTCAGCTTCGTTTGTGAGTTCCTTGTGATCAATGTTGAGCTCATTTGTTAATGAAACACAATATGATGTATTGTTGTCTTGGCCAAATGTTCTTGAAGGGTTTTGTTGATGTACTAATTTTACACCAGTTGACTTAGCAGCCCTTATTTCATCTCTGAAAAAGCTAAATGTTTGTCTATGGAAGCTATGCACTAAATGGGTTGAGGAGCCTCTTGATTGAGAGTCCATGTTTATAAATAGAGTAAAACTGTAACCTGTAAAGTACTGCAATGACACCATGTTAATAGGAGCTGATCCCTCCCTCTCCTCCATGACTTTACCCCCACCATGTGACTGAAAATGGCAGCAATTCTCAAAACCCCCAGGTCTCATCGTGTGAAAATGCGAAAACATCGCAGTGTCCTGCTTTTACTAAGAATCGTTATTCAAGGTTTCATCTGCTGTTTCATTTCCACTGAACATGTTGTCTTTCCAGGCTGGTGTCAAGGGGACATTGGGGCGACTACTAGGGATTTTCGAGGTGAGCTGAAAAAGTTTGTGTTTTTCCATGTCTTTGTGTTGCTTGTCTTTAAACTTGGGGTGGGAAGGACTGCTAGTTTATTTCCACTGTTTGCCTCCTAACCTTGAGCACTAAGAATTTTCCTTGATTTCCTCTTTCTCAGAACACAGACAGGAAGCACAGAACATATGTCTATGTCCTAATCGTTACAGAGATGTTAGAAGACTGGGAGGACTCAGTGAATATTGGTACGTTAAATATTGGTACGTTGTTACTAGTTGTTTGTGGTGTTTGTGAAAGCTGTGATGACTGGAAATCTATTTTGTTATGCGTGATCAAATTGATCAATCGGCAACAGATTGACCAGCTGATCCTCTAAACCAATAGATGCTGCAACTACTACTACTACTGCTACTACTACTACTATTACTACTACTACTACTACCACTACTACTATTACTACTACTACTACTACTACTACTATTGTAGATCCTTCATAGGCATTTCATTCCTGAGTTAATCTAGACTAAACCTGTTTTTCTGACTCCACTCTGCTCGTTATCCCTCTGTTGACAGGGAGAAAAAGGGAATGGTTTAAAACAGATGATGCCAGCGGAGTGCTGCAGTGCCACAAGCCTGTGCAGGCCTCGTACTTTGAGGCCCTACAACAGAGCTGCCTGAGCAGCAACATGATGCCCCTGGTGACCACGATAGGGGGAGGAGAGCACTCTCCTACCTACAACATCAACCATAACTCTAGATCGAGTATAAGATAACTAAAACACATAAACTCCTGGAGACTTCTCCACATCTTTTACCCGCTTCCTTTTCTTACTTAATCCTGCTCCTTTTACTACTGCTTATTTTTTAAACTTCAAAACATCAACAGAAATGTTTGCCATGCCAGCCTTTTTTGTGGTGCCAGAGTGGAGGTACAGACTTGAAGTGTTGGGTGAAGAAGATATAATACTTTGTAATTTGAATGTTTTTTTCTTGCTTTTTATGAATAATTGCATGAGATGTTCCCAAACTCTTCCTCCTTTTCCTCTTTACCTCGGTCCCTCATTCCGCTCTGTCATAAATGTGAGGTTTGTTGAATGCAACTCTCTGCTGTGGTGATGTAAAGTATTGGTATGCTATGTGTTTACCGAAGAAGACAGGCTTTTAAGGATCTTGTCATGGTTTGCTAACACTTTACTTGAAGTTGCAACACCCCTTTATATGTCAGTCATAAGAATGACATAACCTCTCACCATGTACGGTGACAGATCATTAGTCTAAGAGTTAAGAGTTATACAGTATGACAGTCTTTTTCAGCATGACATTTTCTGTAGTTTATTTTTTTTTCATATCTTTCCTAATCGTCTAACAATGCATTTATTTGGTTAATGGTTAGATGGGCTTGTTGGAAAGGTTCCTGTTTTGTATGCGTGGTAAAGATACATGGGTGTGTCTTGTGTGATGCAATCTGTAGGAATGGAATTATCTGGTACAAAACAGGCTCCTTTTGTCTTACATTGTGAAGATAGCAGAAGCTTTGATGATTTGAGTGAGAAGCTTTGATAAGGGGGCTGACAAAAAAAAACACTCCCATAGTAGCTTTGGCTTTTGTTATCACACTAGGGAACATCTAACCAGAAAATTGAAATGTAAATAATCTGCTGTCTCACGTCTTATTGTCAGTCTATTTCAGTCTAGACTATGAAGATAATATATTGATTGGTTTTATAATTAAATGACCGGAAAGACAGAGAATTATACATGTTATCTGATCCTCAGGGGAAATGAACAAGAACCCAGACTAGCTTTTGGTGCAGGAGACGTGCTCTTGCAGAGTTTTTGAATCAGGTTGTGCATCAGGAGGTAGGGAGTAATGTCATTAGGTGTTGTTTATTGTGCTTGAATAGTAAGGCTATTTTAAAATGGCACTTGGAAGATTATGCCACTGCTGGATAACGTGTGTGTCATACTCTGGACCCCACTCAAATTGATGTCTTCATGGTTTCCACTTGATAATTCTATATCCATTTACTTAGTTGTTTATATTCATATTTATTTTCTAATGGTATGATGGTGATTGATTGCAGATGACGGACGTTTTTCAGTCTGTACTAATAACCTCTCAGTGTGTGTATTGATGTGTTTAAGGTGAGGGCTGTTGATTGATTGGTGTGTGTGATGCAGGAAGGAAGAGATGTTGCACAACAGGAGATGCAACGCCAAGGTAAATCACCTGCACGTTTGGTGAGGACAAATTTACACTCATGTGAATCCATCAATTCTGAATTGTATTCCTAACAAATGTTTACATTGTGATATAATTCTGCATTTTCCCTTAAATGAACACTGGACTTTTCTTGTTTTTATGTTAGCTAGATTTGTTTTGTTAGGTTTTTGTTCTTTCTTGAAAGGCACTTTTAAATAGGTATTAATATATTATTTGTCTACTGTAGGTATGTTCATCATTGGTTGTTCAAATTTATAATTTTAAATCAATCAAATGGCATTCATCTGATGAATGGATGGATGCTGATGAAAGTCTCAGAACCATAGTGATTCTGGCCCTGTCAAGACTTGTGAACAAGAACAACTGGGATTGGTAGATATGTTAATGTTCTATAGTCTATGTATGCACGCATGACTGTTAGTCGCTTTGGATAAAAGCGTCTGCTAAATGGCATATTATTATGTCAATGCAGAGACCAACCCTCCACTACTGGCTCTGGAGTTTGGTACTGTTGTTTGCTTGTCTCCCTGGCCTACAAAAATGTATGTGTTGATTCTACTTCACACAGTACTTTGCCCTGATGGGCTAGTAGGTATGTGCCAATTTCAATAATGAAGTTTTATAAAATCTTGTTTCAGGCCCCCAACACTCCCAAGAATGTAAGTTGTCCTTTTGTGAGAAACTGACTGTTTCTGGCAGAACTGGCAGAACAGCTTGCTCAACTGAGCATCATTTAGGCAAGTATGTGGGCACAAAGAATGAGAATATTATATTCTTGCTGAGTTGGATTGGGCCAAATGTACCCGTTGACCCAACTGATCTAGCACAAAGAGCTGTTCAGTTAGTTCTCAGCCTCACTCCGTTCGTCTCCTCTGCCAATGTTTTGAAGTTTTACACAACAGCCTAGTCCTAACCTTGAAATGGCCCTAGACCTGTGGTATCTTGGGCCCTCTGTTGGCTAGGTTTGGCTAGTTAGATGGATGCATTGAATTTCATTTTTAGCTGTTTATGCAACATTTATGTACTAGTAACTGCCTTGTGAGGTTTTTTGGTTTACCTTTCCTCTTTTTTACGTGGAACCTGAACATAAGGAATATGTGGCGTTTTTTTTTGCATGTGAACTGAATTTTTATTTTGCTCTTGACTACTTTCCTATGGCACATGTAAAAATAGAAAATGTTAGGCCTACTCATGGTAAACCTAAGATAGTCATACAATATTGCACCAGGCCGTAATGACTGTTATAATTACATACATGGCTTTATTTCTCACTATATGGCCAGTAGGGATTTGCAATTTCATTATTATCCTCAGTATGCCCCATGTTGTTTGTCTGTGAGGCCTGGGGTGTGTTCAGTTTGCTTTAACGTTTGCATGACGGTTTGTACTGAACGACACGTTTCCCCCAGAACGGTGTGCACAGTTCAACAGCCTTTGAGGTACGTTTGTTCCCATTTGGTGGGTGTGACCATCTGAAATTGTAAAAAACTCGTGATGCACACCATATGATAACATCCAGCTGGGCCACCATAATGTGTTTTTCAACTGGTCATTCAGTACAGTAGTTTCCATTGAATTCAACATTGCACACCGTTCTTTCATACTGGACCCAACCATGTCATCATGAGATTTTGTGATGGCTGGATGGTGCCATCTAGTGGTGATGGGCCATCTAACCAGGTGATTGCAGTTATGGGTAAAATGTTCCTGATGACTTCAGTTTACTGGTAAGTATAATGGTCTTAACAGGATATAAAGCAAATCCAATGATGAAATATGCATCTTTCGTGATGACTGATGTTCACTGAAAAATGGTCAGATCCAAATCATTACATGCAATGGTCCAATCAGGGGCAATTCAACTACACATATCACTGATTTCTTCTTCAATGGGGAATTACAGAACAAAGTGTGAGAAGACTGAAGATTGTCAAACAATTGTGCCAATTAATAAAACACCAGTATTTCAGTGTTCTCTATTCTTTGTATTTTCTTGTTGACTCCAGTTGGAGAAATGTGTTCATCGTCAACTCCTCTAGATTAAAAATGTAAAGTTTAGTCTCATTACCACCTACAAATTCAAGCGTATCACAGGAGGCTGCTGGGGGAGGACGACTCATAATAATTGCCAGAACAGAGCGAATGGAATGGCATCAAACACATGGATACCATGTGTTTGATGCATTCAATACCATTCCATTACCACAAGCCTGTCTTCCCCAGTTAAGGTGCCACCATCCTCCTGTGAAGTGTATATATATTATGATCATTGGACATCCAATGCAATTAGAAATTCATGACACATTGAGATTACAGCAATCTCCTTTTATTATACTGTACAAGAACAGAGTCAGTGCTTTACTCCTGTGGTGGTTGCTGTCCTCTGCCACGTCCAAAACCGCCTCTCTGCAACACACAATACAAGTTGGTACATTTTCAATCCTTGAAGATCTCAAGTGACAATTGGCCATTAAGCTACAATAAGGCATGACACCAATCATTGACTTTAAATCCTTGGAAGTCTTTACTTACGAATTGGAACTCAGTAGCTGCACCAGCGCCTGCTTCAGCCTTCTTGTCTGCGCCAGCTAAAAGGACAGAAAGTATGATCATCAGACAAGTAGAGATTTAGGTCATTTACATTCAGTTTACCATTTGCTGCAACGCCATATCAGCCACCATGGCAAATAAAATATTAGCATTGGCTCAGTGTTTCCATATTGGTGCATCCTTATTGAACGTAACTTGGGTACTCACGTGGTGCAGCAGAACGTCTGTAGTTGTCTCGGTCTCCTCCTTCACGGTTAAACCTGGCTGGCCGCTCACCTCTCTCACCCTCCATACCTGAAACAAAGGACATGTTTTACACCACTCATCTCATCTGCACACTAGTATAACACCTGCAACATTCACCACTCTATACATCCATGAAGGGAACCTGCTGACTGACTACAGGAAACAGTAAACCCCGGATTACTAATGGAAGTACAATTCTAAATCACAGAAATAAAATGAATAGAGCGGACATGATCCCCAATTCTACATGAGACAATCATATCTGTTCTACATAATATATTTATATCTGAACTTTGAACCCTCCTGAATAGGCCCCAGGTGAAACAGACACGGTCATGATATGCAGCCTACCTTTAGGCCTGGGCCGGGCGGTCTCAGGGCGCATCTGTCGACGCAGAGTGGCGGGAACAATCTCTGGGGGCAGATGCAGGAAGTCCCTCAGGTACTGGATGCCCTCATTGGTCAGGTACCAGTAGAAGTGGCGCCAGGCAAATTGCTCCTTCACGTACCCAGTTGACTTCAGAGACTGTTGAGGGAGGGTCACAGTCAGACAAGGGCCACAGTTCAACTACCAGTTTGTGTGTGTCCAAGACAAATTTCCCTTTTGGGACAATAAAGTTGATCCCATCTTATTCTCTAGTTTCATTCTCCATCATGTAACACTATATGAGGCACCAGAAGAAAGTACAAAATCTAACCTGCATGGCCTTCATTACGTGAAGGTTGGGCACATTCTTATCGGCCAGCTCCGGGTGCTTAGCCAGATGCACATCCTTTTTGGCCACCATCACCCCCTCCTTGAAGAGGAGCTCGTAGATGGCTATACGATTCTTCTTGGGCATCAGCATCTGGAGGGGCGGAGAAAAACATGGCCGTCACCTGTTGAACATGCTATGCTCATGTTACATGCTAGTAAGGTCAACATGCATCAGCTGTGCTGTTGAGACCTCCATGAAGTGTAATAAGATAATGGTCATACGGCAGCGAATGCTACGTTCACGTGCTAGTCGGAACTCTGAAATGTTTCCCATTGGTTCCTGCATGAATGCCCCCCCCCCACCCTCGAGCGCGACATCTTCATGCTTGTGTGACACTTTTGAATGTGGGTCAAAAAGGGAATACAAAATATTATCTGAGTTTTTTCGCCCCGGCCTACCGGAGTCCTCCTTGCTAGCTATCAAATCTATTTTTATTGGTCACATACACATATTTAGCAGATGTTATTGCAGGTCTAGCGAAATGCTTGTGTTCCTAGCTCCAACAGTGCAGTAGTATCTAACAATTCACAACAATACACACAAATCTAAAAGTAAAATAATGTTATTAAGAAATATATAAATATTAGGACGAGCAATGTCGGCGTGGCATTGACTAGAATACAGTAGATACATATTAAATGAATAAAATAGTATGTAGACATTCTTAAAGTGACCAGTGTTCCATTCTTAAAGTGACCAGTGATTCCATGTCTATGTCCATTGGGCAGCAGCCTCTAAGGTGCAGGGTTCAGTAACCGGGTGGTAGCCGGTTAGTGACAGTGACTAAGTTCAGGGCAGGGTACTGGGTCAAGGCCGGCTAGTGATGGCTATTTAAAAGTCTGATGGCCTTGAGATAGAAGCTGTTTGTCAGTCTCTCGGTCCCAGCTTTGATGCACCTGTACTGACCTCGCCTTCTGGATGACAGCGGGGTGAACAGGCCGTGGCTTGGGTGGATGATGTCCTTGATGATCTTTTAGGCCTTCCTGTGCCCCCGGTGATGCGTTGGGCAGACCACACCACCTTCTGGAGAGCCCTGCGGTTGCGGGCGGTGCAGTTGCGTACCAGGCGGTGATACAGCCCGCTCTCAATGGTGCATCTGTAAAAGTTTGTGAGGGTCTTAGGGGCCAAGCCACATTTCTTCAGCCTCCTGAAGTTACTGTTGCGCCTTCTCCACTGTGGTCCCGTTGATGTGGATGGGGGCGTCCTCCCTCTGCTGTCTCCTGAAGTCCACGATCAGCTCCTTCGTTTTGTTGACGTTGAGGTTATTTTCCTGGCACCATTCCACCAGGGCCCTCACCTCCTCCCTGTTAGCTGTCTCATCATTGTTGGTAATCAGGCCTACTACTGTTGTGTCGTCTGCAAACTTGATGATTGAGTTGGGAGGCGTGCGTGGCCATGCATTCATGGGTGAACAGGGAGTACAAGAGGGGGCTGAGCACGCACCCTTGTGGGGCACCTGTGTTGAGGATCAGCGTAGTGGAGGGGTTGTTTCCTACCTTCACCACCTGGGGGCGGCCCGTCAGGAAGTCCAGGACCCAGTTGCACAGGGCGGGGTTCAGACCCAGGGCCCCAAGCTTAATGATGAGCTTGGAGGGTACTATGGTGTTGAAGGCTGAGCTGTAGTCAATGAACAGCATTCTTACATAGGTATTCCTCTTGTCCAGATGGGATAGGGAAGTGTGCAGTGCCATGGCGATTGCATAGTCTGTGGATCTATTGGGGCGGTATGCAAATTGAAGTGGGTCTAGTGTGTCAGGTAAGGTGGAGGTGATATGATCCTTAACTAGCCTCTCAAAGCACTTCATGATGACCGAAGTGAGTGCTACGGGGTGATAGTCATTTAGTTCAGTTACCTTTGCTCTCTTGGGTACAGGAACAATGGTGGACATCTTGAAGCAAGTGGGGACAGCAGACTGGGATAAGGAGCGATTTAATATGTCCGTAAACACTCCAGCCAGCTTGTCTGCACATGTTCTGAGGACACGGCTAGGGATGCCGTCTGGACCGGCAGCCTTCCGTGATTGTCTGGAGTCCCTGCCACATACGTCTCGTGTCAGAGCCGTTGAACTGCGACTCCACTTGGTCTCTGTACTGATGTTTTGCCTGTTTGATTGCCATACGGCGAGCATAACTGCTCAATTTGTATTCAACCATATTCCCAGTCACCTTGCCATGGTTAAATGCGTTGGTTCGCGCTTTCAGTTTTGCGTGGGAGAAACACCTGTAGACAGTGTCCTTCGCTCCCGCCTGCCGAACACCTGCCCTCACCATCGTTAACAAAACTGTGGGAAAACAGTGCCTGACAGGCTGGGGCGAAGGACACTGTCTACCGGTCGCCCTCAGGGCAACACTGTGTGCTAGCTTGCTAGTTAGCACACAGTGTTGCCCCCACCTTCAGCTAGCTGTGTACTGGAGAAAACCTGTGCTCGACAGGCGGGGGTGAAGAACACTGTCTACCGGTCATCCACGCCTCCCACTAGCACAGGAGACGGGAGGCTAGGGCGAAACCACATATAGAACAATGAGCCATATATTTCCCCAGATGTATAAATGTGAAGCATCAGGTTGGAGTTTCCACTCACTACCAAATATGGTGATGAGAGGAAGCCCAGTGGCCAGCAGTGGGATTTTTTTCTCATTGATGAAACATTTGATTTCCGAACAGTTTTCTGTTTCCAAAACTTGAATCTGTAACAAACAGTGGACTGCGTTTTGTAGACTTTACCCTTTGTGTTACCCTTTGTGTTGTTTAGGAGTGCAAGGGCTAATTCAGTTATTGCACACGCACACTTCAGAGAGGCGATCCCTAACTGAAAGATGCAAATAAATCCTAGACCGCGCCAATAGGATCTCACTAGCTCGTCCTTGGCTCTGCCCACCTCCTTGCTTGTTCTGCCCACTATGATTAATTTTCTCCCATTGGAAAAGACAGGCTTGGTTAGTTGAAAAAATAATTGGGCGACACCGTGTGCTAGATAGCTTGCTAGTTATCTACCGCATGGTGTCACCCCCACCTGCAGTGTACCAGAGTCGTCCCTAGGACTAGCTGGTTAAGCTAGCACACGGTGTCCTTCGCTCCCGCCTGCCAAACACCTGCCCTCGCAGTCGTCAACAGAACCGTGGAAAAGGTGGGGGCGAAGGACATTGTCTACCGGTGTACGGCTAGCTAGCTACCGTTGTCGCCCATTCTTCTGTGGGGTTTATCTGCGGCTGGCATCCACAGTTATTGTGCATTAACGCCACCTACTGTACTGGAACACCCCTGCCTCCCTCCTGTCCTACCATAAAAACAGACAAACATAAGTATAAAGAGGGGTTTCTGCAGATGCAGGAATGCTGCAATTGCACCCTTCTCAGAGTGCTGGCTGTATGTACTAGGAAACGTGCTGCGTTCAACCAGTTAGCAAGTCGGACATTTCCAAGTTTCCTAGTTCCTACCAGCACTTGAATGCGGCATTCCGCAACTGAACTGACCCACAGCGTGCATTAAAAGAGTACAAATGTCTGATTCTGGGTGTGTATCCGGAAATTCAAGACGTGTAAACTAACTTTATTTAAAAGCAAGCGCTAACTAGTTGGCAGCAAACATTTCTAGCTTGGGACAGTTAGCTAGCATCCAATAGACCACACAGAAGATACAACCCATATGGGAGAAAGGTTGAGGACTTGTCAGTCAGTGTATTACGTCAATTAGGCATAGTTAGCTAGCTAATTGGTGGTTACAGCTAGCTGCTAGTTACTCACTTTGCTAACGTTACCCAACTGGTTAGCTAGCTAACGTTAGTTACTGCCTAGGTCCCTCGATAACAATATTTGAAACATCGGACACAATGTTTAAGACATAAACCGGGATATAATAGAACGCTATAATTAGCTAGTTATAAAGCCGCCACAGTAATGCTACATCGTGTTATTGTATCAGTGGAGAACACAGGACAAGCTGGCGGCCGCCATAGTTATCAGTCGTGTAGCTAACGTTAGCTAGCAACCAGCTAGCATTCATAGAAAGACATTTAGGGCCAAAAAACAAGATTCAAGCATAAATAGACGTTAGACTATTTAGAGAAGCACAATTCAGACACGACTTTCATTTATGACAACACAATTTCGTACGATGTTCGCGATAATACAGGATATTCAAAGTAGGCCGCTTTTGTACCTTGACTCTTGTTTTGAGACCGGAGCCGGAGAGACCGACGCATGCGTATTGATGTGGTATCCAGCGCAGCCGTGAGAAATTAAAACATCCCTGATTATTCAACATTTATATGTTTTTGTGCGGGTGTGCGTATAGCATTTGGTTTGAATGTTACGGTTTTCTATAGTTTTACATTTATTTTTCAGGGTATGGGAGTGAGGGATGCTGAGGGATGTGGTGACGTCACATCATCAGTATTATCAGCAGCACTCATGATGATTAGACTACAGTTCATAGGTTAATTATGTAATGTACTTTAAGATATTCGCAAAAAAATACTAACGTTCTGAGTGGACGTAAATACCAGCCTGTTTCAGCTTTTGCTAAGGCAATGATTTGCTATGGCTTTTATTTCCGACTGGCATCATCAGCCTAAAAGAGAGGATGGTCCCATCCCCTACAGGCCCTACCCCGGCCCTTACGCCTCGATCACACCGACAGTGTTGTTGCATTTTGGTACACCAGAAGTACATTAATTTCCAATGGAACGCTGCGTTTGCCGTGCAGCATTGCGTTGCAGAGGCAGTTGCAGTACTTTCTGTGTGATGCATATGTTGGATTTATCGAATGTATGCGTCAAACTGTATACATAGACGGAATACATGGTCGTCTGTATACATGGTCCTCTGTAGCTCAGCTGGTAGAGCACGGCGCTTGTAACGCCAAGGTAGTGTGTTCGATCCCCGGGACCACCCATACACAAAAAAAAAAATGCATATTATTTCAAAGCTAAAGTGGATGTTTAAAAATATTCCATCTAGTTGTGCTACGCCCATTGAGACATTTAAGTCATATTCAAGGAGTATTCAAAACATGTGTAATTACCAATATGTATCAGACTATCTTGATTGCACCCATGGGCCATAGCCTCGTAGCACTCTCAATTCATATCACACCATAGTTTACAATGTGCCGGTGTCGAAATAACTGTACGACCAAACTGTTTCCAACCCGTCCTATTATTTTAATGTCAGTACTCTGATGGTGGACAATATTGAAGTGTTTAATGAGACAAACGATTTTGTTGGACCATCCCCCAACGTGCGCGAGTGCTTTGCAGCTCCCCCTTGCTGCGTGCATCGTGATCTCGCAGATGCAGAGCCTCTTGCAAAAGAAGAAGGGTCACCTTCTGTCATTGCAAAAAGAGAACTGATAGAAATTCAGAAATATTTGGATAACACGCTAACACCCTGGTAAGTCAACCGTGCATGTTTGTCCCTTGTTGACGTTACATAGAGTCGATGATTAGATAAAGCTGTGTAGCTACTGGCAAAGGGAAACATAGGGATGAAGAAATCTCTCTCGCATGGTTCCCATCGTTTACATTAGTTTACCTGACCAACGTCAGATTGCAATCCAGTGTTTAAAAAAATAATCTCTTAACGACATATTCTTCATAATTATGAAACGCATATTCGAATGCATTGTTATTAAATGGTCAAGATCTTGATCTAGCCTATCTTATCCCAGGTATGTTGTTGTGTTGTAGAGGGTATAATGTTGCAGTCTTATGTTTTTACTTGTCATCTGGAAAATGTGGTTTGCTTTGTATCTTATTTGGCAATTGTCTTATTGCTTTTGTCTACGTGAATTATATTTTTTTATTCCATGATATTCTACGACAGATGATGTTTTCCACCATGCAGATGTTTTCCTCTTTGATCACATACTGATATTAAGTTAGCTAGATTGACTGGTTAAACCTGAGTTTTGACCTTATACAGGCTGACGTTATATGCTCGTGTTTTCCTTGCCAAATTGAAGCATTATGGCTAAGCCTTTTCTGGGGGTAATTATAACAATGTAGTTTAACCTGTGTATGAATAGATCGAATAAAATTAATTTCGGATAAAGTACTGCAGGTTATCGGCCGCAGATGCTATCACCACACGTCCTTTTGGGTGGCCAAGGTTGTGAGATAGCCGTTTATGCCCCATCCTAGCACGAACAGTGAGATAAACAAGACCATGGAGGTAGCCTGGACGAATAAACAAGGTCGCAATGATGCTTCTGAATACTATTTCATAAAGCAGTCGACCAACGACGAATAGTAGTCTATGTTTATTGTTCAGTAGGCTATCAGGTCTCCCATGTGCAACATTTGTACAACGTAATGCCAGAAAATCATGAGGCAGATTAAGGTATGGAATACTAATGAGGGCATTCCGGTCTGCCGTTATGTAATAGCCTGCCATAGCACAGTGAGGAGCCATCGCTACTGTATATGAAAGCGTTATTGTTTTTCTCGGTGGAACCTCTGCTGCTCGCCTGTCACGAATCAACAATATTATTGCCATTAATGGAATTGTATTTCCTATCAAGTGTCTCAAGGAAATACACTATATATACATTACATTTTTAGTCATTTAGCAGACGCTCTTATCCAGAGCGATTTACAGTTAGTGAGTGCATACAAAAAAACAAAAAAAAAAGTAAAAATATATACAAAAGTTTGTGGACACCCCTTCAAATTAGTGAATTCGGCTATTTCAGCTACACTCGTTGCTGACAGATGTATAAAATCGAGCACACAGCCATGCAATCTCCATAGACAAACATTGGCAGGGGAATGGCCTTACTGAAGAGCTCAGTGACTTTCAACGTGCCACGGTCATAGGATGCCACCTTTCCAACAAGTCAGTTCATCAAATTTCTGCCCTGCTTGAGCTGCCCACGTCAACTGTAAGTGCTGTTATTGTGAAGTGGAAATGTCTAGGAGCAACAACAGCTCAGCTGCGAAGTGGTAGGCCACGCAAGCTCACAGAACTGGGCCGACAAGTGCTGAAGCGCGTAACGCATCTGTCCTCGGTTACAACACTCACTACCGAGTTCCAAACTGCCTGTGGAAGCAACATCAGCAAAATAACTGTTAGTTGAGCACTTCATGAAATAGGTTTCTATGGCTGAGCAGCCGCACACAAGCCTAAGATCACCATGCGCAATGCCAAGCGTTGGCTGGAGTGGTGTAAAGCTCGCCGCCATTGGACTCTGGAGCAGTGGAAATGCATTCTGATTCACGCTTCATGCTTCTGGCAGTCCAACGGACTAATCTGGGTTTGGGGGATGCCAGGAGAACCCTACCTGCACCAATGCATAGTGCCAACTGTAAAGTTTGGTGGAGGAGGAATAATGGTCTGGGGCTGTTTTTCATGATTCGGGCTAGGCCCCTTAGTTCCAGTGAAGGGAAATCTTAACGCTACAGCATACAATGACATTCTAGACGATTATGTGCTTCCAACTTTGTGGCAACAGTTTGGGGAAGGCCCTTTCCTGTTTCAGCATGACAATGTCCCCAGGCAGAACTTGACTGACCTGCACAGAGCCCTGACCTCAACCCCATCGAACACCTTTGGGATGAATCGGAACGCCGAATACTTTTGGTAATGTAGTGTATGTCTAAGTGCAGTCAAAACAGAAGATAGGCTGGTAGAATGCACGTCTAAACATTTATGCAGTTTGGGGATGTTTATATCATTAGTGATTCTTCTGCACCACTAGTTATGGCTGATGAAACAACCGGGGGACATGATGTTAGATCCTTATTCACAACGCAAGGTCTTGTAGGAGGTAGCCTGCAACTGAGAACTGGCTGTGTAAGTGGGTTGAATAAGGAGATGTCAGGCCCTTCAGAAAAACAGGTTGTTCATGCCTCCCTCATCAGGGTGTCAACACGGTCCACGAGGGGATCAACTGCCTCAGCATAGTTTATTGATGCAGAGGAAGGGAAGGTAGTCTATACGGCCGTTTGTTCTGTACGCTGTCACTTGGGTGGAGCTGTCCATGGTGCTGAGTTGAGCTCTGCCGTCAGTGGGTTGAACCGCACCGTCTGCAAGTCTGTCAGCAAAGGTGCTACTGAGTGAGCTTGTGATATGGCTGCAGAGGATAGAGATGATGCAGTAAGGGGCATAATCCAATTGTAGTGTGGCGTAAGGCGCTGTAAGGGTTTGCTTTTTATTAGTGGACTCCATGTACTTTCCTATCTTGGAGTCGAGTCTTTCAACAGGAACCGTTCAATATCAGTTGACTAAAAGGAATCTCTCTTGTTGACTCAAACTGAGTTTATACTTGGATTAATCTTCTCCTTATTAAGGTAGCCTAGCGGTTAGAGCGTTGGGCCAGTAACCGAAAGGTTGCTGGTTCGAATACTCGAGCTGACAAGGTGAAAAGTCTCTCGATGTGCCCTTGAGCAAGGCACTTCACCTTCATTTGCTCCAGGGGCGCTGTACTACTATGGCTGATCCTGTAAAACAACACATTTCACTGCACCTATCCAGTGTATGTGAAATAAAATAAATCTTTAGTGACTATTTTTCTTCTCTGGCAACATTGCTAAAACACGCACTAACAAGTGCCCACACAATCTCTTTTGAGGAAAAGCTAGTCTAAAGCTGGCGCCAACATTCAAAGAGGTCGTGCTGTGCATCCAAGTCTCTTGACATGAACTGTTTCCTGCCTTCACCCATTTGTTTGTTCTCCCGGACAATGTCAGTCTGTCACTGATCTTGGATTAGTTCAATTTCTTAGTGTCATGTCTGTGGGTCAGGATTTGCTCAAACTTTACACCCCAACCCAAGCACTCTGTTCTGCCATGTCTGGTCTCTTGGCCCTCCCACCTCTTCAGGGGGTAAGCTCCCACTCAGCCCAGTCAAAGCTCTTCTCTGTCCTGGCACCCCAGTTGTGGAACGAGCTTCCCCCTGGCGCTAGGACAGCAGAGTTCCTGCCCATCTTCCGGAAAGATCTGAAACCCTACCTCTTTAAAGAGTATCTTAAATAATCCCACAGCACTTTGTTTCCGAGAACCTGTTGCAATGGATTTGTTTTGGTGTAATGACATAACTGAGATCAGAGAAGTGTGTGGTGGGCAATTAGTTAGAATTATAATGTCTGCACAATCCGTATGATCATTGCAGCCCAGTAGGCCCTTCTAACCTTTGCCTGTTTTCCCTAGCTCACATTGTTATCTACAGTAGCCTGTGTATGTGTGGGTTTTTTGTAGGTCTAATAACATGCTTCACTTGTCTTTGCTTCTCAGAATGGTTGTGGAAGCTGCTGCTGCTTACAGCCTA